AGCGTCAGGATTTTCACCAGTATCCAACATAACTATATCATCCTTTTTGAATTCGTGTTCCAAAAATCCTTTAAAATACAAAGCAGTAAAAATTACTCCAATTATAGCAAAACAATATTTTCATCAAATCTTATCAGCAATCAATCAGAAAGTGAAAAACTCTCAAGTTCAAAAACTTTGCAAGCAACTACTCGCACAGTTTCAAGTTGGTTCCCTCACAGAGTCGTAAGAAACTTAGATATATCTATAAAGACACTTTATAAGCTTCTATCTTTCTCATAGCCCAATTCCCAATCCAACTGTTGTCGAAATAAACATTATCCAATAGTCCTTTCACCCCTCTACGTGACAGATGGTGTAATAACTACTTGACCAAATGTAAAAAGAGCTCATTAAATACCAATATAATCTGTTGCTGACCAATAACGTCACAAAAAAATTGTTCTAACGTTAAAATTCCAATCAAAAACCAGTTTGGGAAAACAGATAAAAAAAATCAACTTAACAAGTTGTAATTCTTACAAGTTTCAAAAAAAGTCATCTAAAGTTCAGTAAACGCAATATTATCAACTTACTTAGTTTTCGTTCCATCTCATCACATCGTCTCACCTCGTTTACAAATTTCCTTTGAAAAGCACTAACACCAGGATTTAACTAAAACATAAGATAACAGTTGAAGTAGTGCCTGAAATCATCTATTAGCCATTTCACAGCGCATTGAGCTGCAAATAAAACCTACATCTCTAAACTGCACTAAACCAAGTTCACCAAGCTCGGCAACGCAAGTGTAGGCTGCTTCTGTTTGAAGGAAAAGTTGAGCCAGACACATCTCCTCACTGCGATATAGCGAGCCCATTTTGGAAGTCTGAAATTTCGCAGCTACTGGCTGAAAAAATGAATTTTTAATTTCCAGCAAAATGCACAGTAAACATCATTATACGTCGCCAGCGTTTAAATAATTTAGCTCAAAAATATAAGCAATCGCTTGCGCAACCTATTATTCCCAACACTAAAAAAACTTTAGGCATGAACAATTAAAACTTTTTATAATAAACAAACAAATCAAAAATTGAAATAAAAAAGTTTTTGCTATAAAACGTAAACCTTTTTTTTATTTAAAAATAAAAACAAACAATCAAAAAAATTCATTTGTCGATCGAAAAAAGTAAAGAAAATCATCAAACCAACTTTCTCATTAGTGTTGAACAAAAAATCTAACGTGAAATGAATCTTACAGAACGACGTTCCAAATTCATGAAAAGTCACTTCAGTTTCCATGGAACTCCTTAACTTCAACATTTACAAATAAAAAGTCGAACAAGTCATATCATACCAAACAACACACTTTTTCGAATTTCAAATCAAATTTCTCTCAAATATTGACGAATAGTAGGCTGATGTGACTAATATGAAAAGCAGGAGAGAACGTCTGAAAAAGCGAATTATTCTCTAATTTGTAAATCATTGAGGCCCAAAAATTTTCACAAAACCATGTCTTTGTGATCTGAAATCTTACGCATTATTTAGCACGTAAAAAGCAGCCAAGATTTTGGAAAGAAATTGACTTTACTCTAGTGCCCCAAAAAAAGACAAATCAGTCCTTTTCAAAACACTTTAAAGAATTTTCAGCTCTTTGAGCTTAGCAGATTTCATTTTAAAAAGGAAATGACACGAGAACTCATCGTACGAAGAGCGAGGTAGAGTCGAAGAAACTAAAATGAAGCCCACTATTCTTGTCCGCTCCAAATAGAAGCCTCCTACTCCATGAGGAACACAAAGTGCATTTTAAGTTAATCAATTGCGTCTATGACTGCTCCCAAGCGCCCAGAAACCTGTGCTGACAGCCACTTGCAAAAAAAATAAAAGTCATCTATTTAAGTTTATCAGTGATAAAGCGATAAATTGTCAAAGAAATTTTTGTTGTACAAAAATCTGGAGATTTTTCGAACTCTAACAGGCATGTATAACGGCAGGAAGACCAGTTTCTTCTTACCTTTTCTGCTATTGAAATTGAGTGCTTAAGCATGCTAAACGTGCAAGGGTTAAAATATAATTTCCAGAACAAGTTCCAGAATCCACCTAAATCACTTCCAACATAGTATTTTCCACTGCCTTCTAATACACATGACTGAATGTGCTTCCAGCACACACGGCATTTTAAATAATTTTTAAAATTTAAAATCATTTTCAGCAAACAACTCTTGTTACCAATTAACCGTCGCTGGTCAATCTAACAGAAAAATTTAACCCACATTAATAACCCTTAAATTTAACCCACAGAAAAATTTTAACCAGTTATTAATATAATGAAGAAACACTAAGATTAAAAAATAAGAGACTCGAATAAAATATTTCCTTCGATATCCTGATCCAAAAAAAAACTGATACATTTTTTGAAGAGCCAAACCGTAGGCGTGAAAAAAGCTCTAAAAGCTGCTATAATCAGCGACAAATCTCCAGTAAAAAAAAA